ATTAGCTGGATATTACCGAAGGTTTATCCAAGGCTTTTATTTGATCTCTAGCCCATTAATAGCTTTGACCCACAAAAGAGATACTTATGCTTGGAACGATAAGCATAAAGAAGCATTCGAGAAGCTAAAGAAGAAACTATGCAAGACACCGATACTTTCTCTACCCGATGGAGTTGAAGACTTTGCTGTTTATAGCGATGCGTTTAGTGTTGGATTGGGTTGTGTTTTGACCCAAAGAGAGAAGGTGATCGCATATGCGTCTCGAAAATTGAAAGAGCACGAAAGGAACTACCTGACTCATGATTTGGAGTTGGCAGCGGTAGTTTTCGCTTTGAAAATATGGAGGCATTACCTCTATGGCACGAAGTGCAAACTTTTCATTGATCATAAGAGTCTCCAATATCTCTTTGGTCAGAAGGAATTGAATATGAGGCAACGATGCTGGCTATAATTACTTAAGGACTACGACTGTGAGATACTTTACCACCCTGTCAAAGCTAATGTTGTTGCTAATGGTCTCAGTCGGAAAGTCAATCTTGAAAGGAAAAGGCCAAGAGCGTTGAGAATTGAAGTTGTCTCGACCATTGTGGAAAGTATAAAGAAAGCTCAAGAGGAAGCTTCTGAGAAGAATGACCGAAAGGAGGAACATTTGGGAAAAACGTTTGTGTTCGGTATAAACAATAATGGACTGAAGGTGTTCCAAGATCGGATTTAGATACCTAAGACATGAGGAGTCAGAGATCTTCTGATGGAAGAAGCTCACAAGACCATGTACTCGATTCATCCTGGTAGCACTAAAATGTATAGGGACCTGAAACCCTATTATTGGTGGCCGACGATGAAGCTTGATGTTGCAAAGTATGTGGCCGAGTGTGTGACTTGTGCTAGAGTCAAGACACAACATCAGAAACCGTACGAGAGTTTAGAACCATTGTCTGTGCCTATGGGTAAGTGGGAAGACATTACTATGGATTTTGTCACTAAACTGCCCAAAACGAAGAATGGTCACGACATGATTTGGGTGGTCGTTGATCGATTCACTAAGAGTGCGCATTTCATAGCAGCCAAGGAGAAATGGTCTATGGATAAACTTGCAAATTCTTACGTGAAGGAAATTGTGAGGCTTCACGGTGTTCCGTTAACGATTATATCGGATTGTGATAGCCGTTTCACCTTGAGGTTTTGGAAAAGTCTACAAGAGGAAATGAGTACCAAGTTGTTTTTAAGTACAACTTACCATCCGCAGACTGATGGTCAAAGCGAACGGACGATACAAACACTTGAAGATATGCTGAGAGCATGTACCTTAGAATTCCAAGGTAACTGGGATGAACATTTACCTTTGGTAGAATTTTCCTACAATAATAGTTTTCACTCGAGCATAAAGATGGCACCTTATCAAGCTTTGTACGGACATAAGTATCGTACGCCGTCTTGTTGGCTTGAGGCTGGGGAAAAGCAGTTTATGGGACCCGAGTTGGTTCATCAAACTGCTGAAAAGTTGAAAATAATTAGGTAAAGGATGTTAGCAGCTCAGGATCGTCAAAAGAGCTATGCTGACAACAAGCAAAGACCAATGACTTTTGAAGTTGGAGATTCGGTTTTGCTTAAAGTCTCACCGTGGAAGGGACTTATAAGATTTGGTAAAAGGGGAAAATTAAGTCCAAGATTTATTGGACCGTTTAAAGTTCTTCAGAGGATTGGGAACCAAGCTTACAAGCTCGAACTACCAGAAGAACTGAATGGAATTCATAACACTTTCCATGTGTGTTATTTGAGGAAGTTCACGGGAGAAGTTCCCGACATGATTCCACTTTTGGAGTTGAGAATCAATGAGAACAAAAGGTTGATTGAAGAACCAGAGACAATCGTTGACCGAAAGACTAAGAAGTTGCGATGCAATATGGTCGAGTTAGTGCTTGTCCGATGGAAACACACGAATGGGCCGAATCTCACATAGGAGATGGAGAGTGACATGATGGGTCGCTATCCGCATTTGTTTGTTGGTGTGTGATTAGGGGACGGAATCATTCTAAGGTGGAGAGAATTGTAACGCCTATGTTTCTGAGCTTGCCATTAATATTGATATAATAGTCTAGGTTAACCTTTGTAACCCATTTTGAAATAATAGAAGTGTATTATTTGTGTATTATGTGTTTGTGCTTAATCGCGTGATTTAATTGAATTAAGAATAAAAATAAGCGTCAAAATGAAATGGTAGATAAGCTCGATATCTATGGATAATGTTGTAGTAGTTGAAATTAGGTTTCCGAATATATAAAGAATGCCAAAATCCGAGTTATAACGAAGAAGTTATGACCTGTCGAAGTTTCGTGACAGAACCGACAACGCTGAACGACGTAAAAAGTGAAATTTACGTTAGAGCGATATTTAGCCTTAGTAATCTAAACGAAAGTCGTAGAGTTCGTTAAACCGAGAGCGTGCATAAAAGAACGCCCAAATCGGACTTCGTATGAGGAAGTTATGATTTTTCGAAGTTTCGACTTAGCAATATAAAGCCCGAATACTCGATTTGAGATCGAGCGGTTTTTAGCCGAAACAATCTAAACGAGAATCGAAGATCTCGTTAATTGTAGTGAAACGATGAAAAGATAGGAGAAAATGGACATCAGATGAAGAAGTTATGATTTTATAACGGATTTTTCCTGTCCCGACTTACTAAAAATAGATAATAAAAATAAAGTCAAAATTTGCCGATGAAGTCTAAATGAAAGTTGTAGAGCGTAGTCTCACCTACGCATGGATATAAAGAACGTAGAAAACGGAGTTCGTATGAAGAAGATATGAGTTTTTGAAGTTTATTAAATAATTAAAATATAAATTTAATTATTAAATCTGACATTATCCGAAGGGGAGTCACCGGACTTATCCGGGTTACGCCCAACGTAGGGCTGTACGCCCAACGTACAACGAAACATGACACGCCTCGCACTCGAGTTCTTTGGATACGTAAGCAATGACGATTTCGGAGGCAGTACACCCCGCGTAAGGAAGTACGCTCAACGTACTGCGAGGCCTCAGCCTCCTATAAAAGGGTTGCAAGGGCAACCGACTCCATTTGCCAAATTCTCTTCCCTTTCTCCAGTTTTGCATCGTTTTGCGTGCCAGAAGTATCCCGAAGCCCTGATATTATTCCCGAGCCCCGAAGCAAGTCCCGAAGCCCCGAAGACCCAAGAAGTGCAATTCACGAACCAAAGCTCTGCTCGCGAGAAGCCCGGTTTTTGTGAAGATCTTCCAGATCTACCGAAGAATACTACTTCTACAAGTCGTAGTGCTGTCCAATCATCTTCTGATCAAGTGAGTGTGTAGTTACCTTCTTCTAACGCATAATTATGAAGTATTTTATACGAAATATGTGTTATGTGTATATTTGGTTGTTATATGCGTGAACGTATATTCACTTTCTTCTATCTCACAAATCCGATTTATTCTCTATGAAGTATGTGTTATGTGTGTGTGCCTCATTTGTTATGTGGAATATGTATTGATTGAACATGCTATACAGGTTTTAAACTATGTATAAAAATATATATTTTTATCTACTAATATGTTGAGTAGAACATGGGTAGATAGTTGATGTGTGATAAACAGATGAGTGGCCTCGATGTTGTTGTTGTTGATTTAGTCATCTAGCGGAGTATGGATGACGACCACAGACTCTTTCTAGTCAGTCTTGTTGAACGTTAGCAGGTTCATAACCTGTAGGTGTTGTGAACGATGTGTTCACCGGTGTACTCTATCCCCTCATGGTTGCCTTTAGGATATCTATTGTTGAGGAAACCCCTTAGCAATAATGTCTGTCTCGATGAAAATCCTAGATTTGGTCCCTTGAGATAGATGTTGTTTTAGGGACATAAAGTGAGGATAACGGGAATGAGTAATCGGGTTATTGTTGGTTGGTGAAATTAAATATAATTATTTATTGTAGGTTGAAAACCCTATATGCTCATCAGACTCCCAAGCCTGACCCACTCAGTTTATTTGTATTACAGGAAGTGGCGCAAGGGCATAAGATGGATGAATCATCAAGTTGTTTTGTTTACAAGTCTGCATATGTATATATTTGTTGAATGACTTGTAATGTTATTGTTTATGCTTTATGGTCTGTATCAGAACATGATATCCCGAGTTTTGATTATATAATGAAAATGCATCTCTTGATGAAATGCTTTGATAAATATTATCTTATCATATTTTGTTTTTGGGAACAAATTCCGCAACTCTTTTAAATCAAAAGGATTTACTCTGAAATTATTTTAAAAAGCATAAATGAAATCGCTCTTTTCTGGCCTAGATTTTGGGGATGTCACAGTAGGGCCATTCTTGTTTTTATTGAAAGCATATTCATGTGACCCTGTATATCTTTTTTGGTTTTAGAAGATTGACCCACAAAAAATGGTGTAGCATGAACTAACCCTAGAAGAACAAGGCACCTTCTTGCTCAAGTTTTTTAACATTCTCTTCCTTAGGTCTTCCTCATATTATGGACTTTCAAACTCATCATTGTTGATCACACCTAAGTCATCATCTTGGTTTAAATCTACCTTTATGTTTGGTCCTTGTCCAAACCATTCAACCTCATCCACACAACTGTTAAAATCTCTCATATCAACCTCCCATGCAATCATCTAAAATAGCTTTGATCTAGGTCAACAATGTAGTCAAAATCATCCTCTTCTTCTATATGCTCTTCTTAATCATCTTCTGAATTCTCTACATGCTTGTGTTCATCTTTTTCATCAACTTCAACCTCTCTTTCAAACTCACCCACATTATGATATCCATCGCTACTAAAAGGCTCAAAATGATATAGTATTTCTATATGACCCTGGTAATTAATATCAACTCTAATATCTTGCATTGTATCAGTTTCTTTTGGTACAGGAAAATACGAATCATCCTTAAACTCATTAACCACATCTTGTTTGTTTGGCTCAAAAGGTTCTAAGGACATGGAAATCATACACACCATCTTCTATCTATGCTTGATTAGCTGATTCTTTAAGTGGGACATTCAAGTCTAATTTCTTGCTACAAGAACCAATTCCCTTCTTCTTAGGCCTAATACTATTAAGTTTAGGAGAAAGATCATCATCCAATTGCTCAATAACAACTTTACTTGGGAACATGAAGTAAGTGTGAAGTCTTGTAAAACCATGTTCAATGTACACATTAAGCACTATGTTTTGAAGAACATATTGAGCCATAGATATAACGTCTTGATCATTTCCTAGAGCCTTCAATCCAAAATCTAAGTCTAGATTAGGAGTTCTATAATGATAGTACATTGTGTTATCCGCCGAATACCCTATCTCACGAATCATGTTATGTAGATCATGAAGTAAGTGTGAAGTCTTGTAAAACCATGTTCAATGTACACATTAAGCACTCTGTTTTGAGGGAAATATTGAGCCATAGAATGTAAAGTCTTTGACAAACCACATGGACTATTTTCACGCCTGATCCTAAGAATATAAATATCCTCTAATACCAAGACGAGTCAGAGAAAAAAAGCCCCTATTGCTATTATAAGTTTTTATTTTTAAATAAATGTATATATAATTTATAATAAAAAAATTAGATTCTGTATAGCTGTCCACTTTAAGCCCTCAACTCTCCCATGACTATTTTTGTAATTTTGTCTTACTTTTATGACTACGTAAAAAAAAAAAAAAAAACGAAAAGAGTACGGTTATCGATTGGCCGGAGCAAAACAGAAAAAACCCGACCGCCCGGACATATCTGAGCCCGATTATGATCGGCTCTAGAATTTTTAGAAACAAGTAAAAGTTGCCCGCATCCCAGCATACGCGAACACAAATGGAATCAAAGTCATCAACCCTCGCACCGCTTCCGGAGGATAATCAAGATCAACCGCAATCCGATCATGCTGCACCGTCTGCTTTCTCCTCAAAACCCATTCGTCCTCCCACTCAGTCAGTTTCCCTCCCTTCTTTTCTTTTCTTTTCTTTTATTAATCATCATTCTGCTAACTATATTTCCATTTTTAATTGCTTTCACTATACGTTTAAGTTTTTGTATATTGCTCCTACTTCCGATCTGTAATAAACACCGATCCTTTAAATTTAGAAACTCAAATTGGTTTATTGTTGAGGTTCAAAAATCTTGTGGCGAATTAGCACCAAAAGCTGGTTAAAACATTATTAAATCGAACTGTAACTTAACTTAATTTCCGCTTCTTTGGAGTATTTGCAATGCTGTCACTCGCGAGTAAAGTTTTCTAGCTCATCACAACCTAATTAAATGAGTATATTAGCTGTAAATGTAGAATCCTTATCCTCACATTGAAAGTAGTCCTATGACAGACTAGTTATGGCACAAATGTGATTTTCAATGAAGAGATATTTCATGGCAGACAAGATATGTGGCTCCATGTAAGTGATCCTTACTGATTTATTAGCAAACTTATCACATAGGTATAGACAAATGTAGTATGCTAAACTAAGTGTGGAAGGAAAAAGTAAATGAGATCAATTTTGTAAAAAGAAACACCCATATATAGCTTACCTGATTAGGCCTTGTCTCTGTTAAAGCCATTAACTCAAAAAGAAACAACACCTAAGCTCCTGAATAGGATCTCTAGGACTTGACACCAAATATAGGACACCATTGGAAAAAAAAGGGTTACAAATTAGCATTTTAAAGATGAAATATGCAATTTCACTGGATCATGACAGTTAAGCAAACCATGTTGTATGGATCCTCATATAGGTTTAAACTTAGGGTTGTGGATTCGTATAGGTCTTAGACTCTTAGTTAGTTATTTTTTGTGTATTAGGTTCTTAGTACTATATTTACCTATATTGCATGATCGTTAGACAAGGTATTCATTTATGATTCTTGTAATATTCTATGTTAACAGCGCATATATTCTTGTTAGTTTCAATTGTATACCATCTTTTGGATAAACTCAAGCACTTACTCTTTAATTCTACTGTTTGTCCTTGCAGGACATCTTCACAGAAATACTCCCCAATAGATTGGAAAAACTATTTTGATCAAGAGGATGATGTTTGCATCCCTGACACAAATGATGTTCGTGGCATATTTCATATATGGTTAAATACACATTGTTGCAACAATAGGCTTTATTTAACCCTTTCATTTACTCGATAGAACTTGTCTTTCTTCTCTGTATGCCAGCTGTACTTTCCCACTGTTTTGATGATTGTGTTTTATGCTGCCATTTAGGTCTTTCACATATATACTGCAGGAAAGGAAGGCCCAGTTGTATTTTGTCTACATGGGGGTGGTTATTCTGGGTATTTCATTTGTGTTTTAGTTATGTTTAATTTTTAACCTTTGTAAATAAAAGTTTTTTTTAGTATACTTAAATACTGCATAGAGCAGAGTTAAAACTGTACATTGTGTTTATTACATTTACATATAATATAAAAATGTATTCCATTCCATTCCTACAACCAACCAAACATGATCATGGAGTGTAATGAATGATTCCATTACCTTGTCTATTCCATTCCATTCCATCCATCCATCCAAACACACCCTAATTCTTTGACATGCTATTGCCAGGCTGTCATTTGCAATGTCAGCAAGTATAATCAAGGAGAAAGCAAGGGTAGTAGCAATGGACCTGAGAGGACATGGGAAATCATCCACAGAAAATGAAATAGACATGTCAATTGAGGTACACTACACATCTTGAATAACCCTTTTTCATTATAAAAAAAACTCCATATTTTTGTATCTTTGTGTATTGCAGACTCTATGTAACGATGTTCAAGCTGTTGTGAAGAAAATGTATGGAGATGCTCCACCAGCAATTGTGCTTATTGGCCACAGGTTTCTGATTCACTTCAAACACCTAATTCTACTATTAATTGCTAATAGGAACCAAAAAAAAAAAACTATCGATTTAATTGATCATCATATGCAGCATGGGTGGCTCAGTTGCAGTGCATGTAGCTGCAAAGAAAATGTTGCCTAGTTTGGCTGGACTTGTGGTTGTAGATGTTGTTGAGGTGAGCTGCATTTTGACTTAAACAACTTTTATAAACTTTTTTTTTTTTTCAACTTTTTTTAAAAATTACAATTTCAGGGTACAGCTATGGCTTCATTGATGCATATGCAGAAAATTCTATCAAACAGAGTGCAACATTTTCCAACTCTTGAGAAAGCTGTAAAATCACCCTTTTCACTTCACTTATTTCATATATCTATAATAATGTTATTTATTTTTTTATAAAATTTGAATTGTAATTTGTAAATGCTTGCAGATTGAGTGGAATGTGAGATCAGGATCTTTAAGAAACATCGATTCTGCTCGAATATCGATTCCCGGGACTGTAAAGTATGATGACTCACAGCAGTGGTAAGTTTTTAGGTTTTTTATTTTCTAAAAACTAATTTCTTTTTTCTTTTGTCATTCCTAATTTTTATACAACGTATCTTGATTCTTGTAAATTACTTGTTGGAATTTGGAAACAAAAGTTTACAAATATATTGAATTGCTTTTGTGCAAATTGACTGATCTTGCTGTTGTATGCACAGCTATCGACACAGAGCACGATTGGAGGAAACAGAACAATATTGGAGAGGATGGTAAAAATTAACTCTTTGATATTTGTAGTCATTGAACGATTTATTATTATTTTTTAAAAATTATGTTTAACTTTCTATTTTTGTAAATAAAAAAAATTCAGGTATGAAGGCCTCTCGGAAAAATTTCTGTCATCTCCTGTCCCAAAGCTCTTGCTGTTGGCTGGAACAGATAGACTTGACAGGTTCTTTTTTTTTTTTCTTCCCATTCAGTGTTGTTTGGATAAATGATGTTTAAAATTTAATTGTTAAATAGAAAGTCAATATTATTTCTTGGTGGAAGGGTAATATGGTAATTTTCTGTACCAGGGCTCTCACGATTGGACAAATGCAGGGAAAGTTTCAAATGGTGGTTGTCCGACATACTGGCCATGCGATACAGGTGAGAATTTAGTCTTTTCAAATAAACTTTTTTTTTTTGATGATAAATTTAAACAGACACCCAACATTTGTAACTATTTATATTTTATACTGTTGAATATTATTACAGGAAGATGTTCCAGATGAATTTGCATCACTCATACTCAATTTTATCTCACGCAATCGGATAGGACCTTATGGAGTTGAGGTTGGTTATATTATAATCTAGTTTATCAAAAAAAAAACAGAAAAACACTTATTTTATTAATATAGCCACTGAACTATTATCATAGAAAATAATAGTCCAGTGGCTAAATCCAAAATATAATATGCTAATAAGAAAGAAAACTGAAAGTATGATACTGTAATTAGGTGTTTATTTCAAAGTATAATGTCTAAATAAGAAACAGAAGTTGAAAGTGACAATTGACAATGAACAAATAATGAAAATATGTTTGCTATTTTTTGCATTCATGTGTCCATTATCCTTTATGTTATTCTTATCAGTTTCTGTTTTATTTATTTATGTATTTTTACAGATTCCTGGAATCCGCCGCCCATCGCAACCACATGCTTGAAAAAAAGTAAAAAATTTGTAATGGTTTGTGAACACAAGAGTATACTCCTTTGTGAAACTAATCTCACAAAATTGTTTGTAGTTTCTTATATATTTTCAATTATGTGCTAGTGTAGATCAAATGAAATTATTACCTAATAAAAGTTCAAAATTTCAAATTATAATTCAAACACTAAATTAAACTACACTTTCAACATTTCAAACATACGAAATATCATTACCTTTCACAAATACTCTTTTTTTCAACAAAAATGTCTCCATCTACCCAAAACAAAAAGAAAAAAAAAACTTCAAACCCTTAATCACCAAACCTTCCATCACCACCATGTTACTGACCTTTATTTGATTAACCAATTCATTCATCCACTAGTTACTACTATCATTCTATGGCTACACAACTGTTTCTATTCAATCTGTACTTTTTTCAACGCATGCCATTTTACCAAAACCAACCCCAAACTAATTTCCAAATTCAACCAATGCCTTGTCCAAATTTGGATCTTGATTCGTTTGAGACGGTTCAAGAAACTCAATTTTTCTTCACAACTTCAATCCCAAACTAATTTTCAATCCCAACCACGCTGCCTACTCAATGAGTAAACATATTCTTCCGATGAAGGACCTGTTGAAGAGCCCATTCAAAAGTTAATTCAAGAGCTCGAAGTTGAACCAAAATGAGAAAAATAAAGGAAAATGGAAGACTATGCAAAGGGTGGATGGATGAGGAAGAGAGGGCACTAGCGCAAGTATGGCTAGATGTGTCGAAGGATCTGATGACCGGAGACGATCAAGATTTGACAACCTTCAAACCTAGAGGTTTTTTTTTTTTTTTTTTTTTTTTTTTTTTTTTTTTCCAAATGAGAAAGCAATACAGTAATCCTAATCAACTTTTACTCGAAATGGAGGATCGCCAACAAAGCCTTAATGGAGTTCAATGACATTTACATGAATGCCACCCACAACCCCCAAAGTGATGCAAATAAGGTGGATGTTCTATCAAAAGTTCGGAAGATTTATAAGACGAAAGTCGGAAAACCTTTTGACAATCAGGCGTATTGGGGAGTTGTGAAGGACAAACCAAAATGCCTTAATCTAAAAAGTGCGGATGATCAAGCGGGCATGTCCACACGAAGCAAAACTTCAAAGTCAACCCACAATCAATATTATGATGCACGTATTGGGGGGATTGAACTCAACGACGATCCATATGAAGCTTCAACTCGTCTTATGGGATGAGATAGAGCAAAAAAAAGGTTGAAAGGAGCACAAAGTTCATTGAGTGACGTGGAGGAGATAAAGAGCAATATCAAAGGGTTGGACGCTAAACTTTTGGGTTTTTTGGAATTGGTAAAGGCACGCTAAAGCTATTTTTAAACCTACGAAAGAACTTGTCCGAGGGGGATTGTTATATTTTCAAAAATGTATGGAAGGATATTGTTAAACAATACAAGTGGAATAAGCCCTAGTATTTTTATGTCTTAGTGTAGTTTTAATTTATGTATTATGTCTAGTAGTAAATAGTGTTGTAGGTTTTGAGTCAATTATTTAGGTAGTAAGTCTAGTTTTAATTTTTTTAAACTGTATTTTATTTTTTAAATTATTGTAATATTATCCTTCATTGAACATGTAATAAACACTATACACAAAACACATTTTCAGACATTGTTAATTGACTTAATTCAATACATTAAAAAATGTATGTACATGATTAACTTTTCTTTAAAACTTATAAAGTGTTAAACATTATATATCTATTGAAGAAATGATTTTTTTCATATTTTTATAAAAAGTTAAAATAAATGATTGACAAACGAAATTACAAAGGTATATTTGTATATTAAGCATTATAAATTTACAAATAAAATACTTAAAATATATAAAAGCAAACAAAATTACAAGAATCATAAAAATTACAAAACACATTGTTTATATTAATGATTATAGATAGATTGAAAGTTTGTAAAGAATACAGATAAATATATCTACAAAGTTATATGTATTTGGCAAACAAAATAATAAAAGTTAAAATAAAAGAAAAAATTGATTTGGTCCATAAAAGGGTGATCCCAGTCAGAACGATCATCTTCAACTTAGTAGGGCCCAATCACCACACCCCACTCCCCACTCATACACGTCGAATTTAAATTCTGGAAGCCCAATCAGTTTGGCCCTTGTTTTGTGCCTCCGGTGTTTTGTATGAGTGGCTATTAGATTCGGTCGTGCAAAACTCCTCACATGATACCGTTTCTAGTTTGATCGTGCCTCCGGTATATGTTTCATACGACACACATCGGGCATTCTAAGCTAGCTCCAACGTATCAATTACTAAAAGAAGAGTAAATTATAGGAATCATTTTGTTTTGTGGTTTGGTGTACTCTATGGTGGTGTAGATATTTATATAGTTAAAGCAATAAAAAAATTCATTAAAATTATTCAAGTTATTGTTATTAATTATGGCATAACAAATTTTGTATACTAAATTAAAAGGTTGATGTAAAGTTCTTACTAAAAGTTATTCAACATTAAACTATTACTATTCAAAATACTCTAATGTTTTTTTTTTTCAAAGATGTAATGACCCAAAATTTTCACTTTCATCGATGTTAGCGTTCCGTTAAGTTTATTCTTAAACTAATATTTCCTTGGTTCAAAGATGAAATGTGAGTTCCAAAGTGTAATCAAATAATTCTTAAACATGTATATCGGTATGAGAGTCATTTTGTGATACTTTAGGGGCCTAGATTGTAACTTTGTGATACAAACAACACCACTTTGAGAGAGTTTCCTTGGAATCAAGAGTGGTCAAGAAGGTGTTTTTTGGTGTTTGTTGAAGGATTTTTGGTGATGTAGTCCTTGGAATTCCTCTCTCCACCTTAATATTTGCAATCTTCCATAGTTCTAGAAGGTTAATGTATTAAATTCCCACTCAATTGGTATGGTTATGATTTATTAAGTTGAATTTTGGTAGAAGTTATGTCCATTTTTCACTTGAACAATTCAGACCGGTTAAGATTGTTCCCACTTATTGAAATTGCTAGAAAATGGGATTAGAATTGGTCTCTATTGATCGCATTCGTAATCGGTGACTGACGTAACACGTCTCTTGAACATACACGACACATAATTGGCTCTAACAGACTTGCAACGACCCAGATTTTCTATCATCTAATTAAGTAGGGAATTATCAAAGTTTTTCTTATAATTGCAGAATTCTACTAAAATTAAAACACGTTAATTCCCAGGTTAAATCACAGATTTACAATAAAATCTATTACATAAATACCACAACAAGGATTATACATAGAATCCTAATCTAGGTCTTTGTGCTCCAGTCTTTTCTCATACCACGATTGCTACCTAAACCTGTAAAACATGAAACATCTATTACATCAGACCATATGTCTGGTGAGTTATATTCTTATCTGTTTTCATGTTCATATACTCTTTCTTTCTTATCTCTTCTTTCTTTTAATCTACAATCTAACTCTTTCTTAAATAGCATACACTGCTATTCTTTCTTCTTTCATCTATCTTATTTACTCTTCTCTAATCTTTACTTTCTACTCTTTTGTATCTCTACATACTCTATCATTTGTCACCTTTTCTCATGCTTTGCTCTATTCTCAATCTCATCTTTCTCTACTCTTTCTCTACTCTACTCTTACTCTTCCTTAGCCTCTTCACATACACATGTCTTACATTCTCTTAGCCCCTTATTAGGTTAATCTCATACTCTACACATATTATATCTTTTATTTCTTTCTTTCACATGCTCTCTCTCTCTCTCTCTCTCTCTCTCTTTCCCTTTCTTCTAATCTTACTATGCTTTTCTCTATACTCTTGTATGCTCTTCTCTATCCCTTACTATGTTCTTCTAAACATCTCTTACTTTTAGCATGTCTGTATCATACTCTGCTTACTCTTCATCTATTATTCACTCTTATACCTCACCATTCTATTATCATCTAGATACAACAGTCACATCTCATAATCTAATCTCATCCACCTTCTAAGGGTAACAACATCCCACTACACTACCCTATATACTCATCTGGTCTTACTCCTCTATCTAATGATCCCTCGTGGATCCTTCATCTTTATTCTTTTCTTGAATTCCTTATGGGTTCCTCTCTACGGATTACATATAAGCTCTTACAAAGAACTCTCTTGCCTTGTTCAAATCATGAAACCTTTCCTCTATCTTCTCTAACCATACATAATTTCGATTTCCATGGGAATCATCTATACCCCTAAAGGCATCATCATTTCTGTCCACTGTAGGGACATAATCTGTAACACTCGTGTTCCTAGCCTAGGCATTTATATTGAGTTGATAGTCTGGGTTAACCTTTGTAACTCATTTTGAAGAAATGAAAAGGAATTATGTGAATATTATGTGAATTATGTGTTTTATGCTTAATTATTAGGGTTTATTTAATTAAGAATAAAAATAAGCGTCAAAATTGAACTTTGAGATAAGCCCGATAGATTTACATAAACTTGTAGTGCTTGAAACAAGGATTTTGGGGATATAAAGAATACCAAAATCCGAGTTATAACGAAGAAGTTATGACCTGTCGAAGTTTCGCGACAAAACCGGCATGGTGCTGAATGTCGTAAAAAGTGAGTTTTCGATAAACTACTTTTTAGCCTTAGTAATCTAAACGAAAGTCGTAGTATTCGTTAAATCGAGAAGTTCGATAAAAAGAACGCCCAAATCTGACTTCGTATAAGGAAGTTATGATTTTTCGAAGTTTCAGCGTAGCAGTAGACAGCTAAAAACTCGAATTTTAGGTCGAGCGATTTTTAGCTGACACAACCTAAACGAGAATTGAAGGTCTCTTCATTAGGAGCACAACGGTAAAAATTCTGACGAAAACGTACATCGTATGAAGAAGTTATGAATTTTTAACGGATTTCCTGTCCCGATCTGTTAAAAATAATAATATAAAATTTAAATTCAAAATTAGGCGACGAAGTATAAACGGAAGTTGTAGAGCGTAATTTTAGCTACGCGTGCATATAAAGAACGTCAAAAACGAAGTTCGTATGTGAAAGTTATGGATTTTAGAAGTTTTTGCACAAAAGCCGAGAAAATTTGCATATGTGGCTTCGGCCACGTCACCCTCGCAGCATGCGAGCCACGTGTCCGAAATTCTGGTGAGTCATGCGAGCCACGTGTCCGAGCCGGAGACCAAGTCAATGACTCCTTGTGTGAACAGTAGCTGTGTGTCCTCTTCTGATTCGACCAAAGGGAGGCCCAATCCGAAGCTTGCATCCGGACCGAACCTCGCACCAGCCTAGCTCCGAGCCTCGCACCTAACTTCGAACCTCGCATGTGCTGCAGTAGACTGCGGTCCAATAAGAAGCTGCCAACGAGCCCTTCGTACGTGCAATCCTCGTGCGAGCCACCCCCTGCGAACCCTTCGGATCTGCGACGCGTGTCTCCTTCCTGACCATCCAATCAGAAGCCTCGCCCCTATAAATAGAAGGGTGCGAGACCTCCCGGGTAATTTTAGAATTTTGTCACTTTTAACCCCTAAACCCATATTTTCTTCATTTTAACATCCCGCAAAGCCCCGGTATCGATTGTAAATCCTGGAATACCCTACGAAGTGCCCGAGAAGCCCGGAAAATTTATCTTTTCGGTTTCGAAGCCCAACTTTTGCAGAGCCCGGTTTCTCAATAAAACTCCCGGTTTTGTTTGAAACGATCGTTTTAGGAAACGAATTGCTGCCCGATTATCATCAAATCATGTGAGTGTATAGTCACTTTCATTTTACACATAGATATGAAGTATTTACCTTATAATACGTGCTATGTGTAGATATATTAATTGTTTATTTGAGGTAACAGTTGAGTTGATGTTTTATACAAGTTTTAAACTGTATAAGTATTTTAATCTACAAATATGTTGGGTAGAACATGGGTAGATAGTGATGTGTGATAAAATAAAATTTATGAGAGGCCTCGATGTGTTTTGAAATCCAGTCATCTAGCGGAGTTTGGATGACGACCACGGACTTTCTAGACAGTCCAGTGGGAAACATTAGCAGGTCCGCAACCTGTAGGTGTTAATGAACTAAGAGTGTTCATTCGTTGTACTCCATCCCCCTCATGGTTGCCTTTAGGACATGTATAGCTGAGGAAACCCCTTAGCAGTAGTGTCCATCCTGATGATATTCTTTAGGCTAGGTCCCTTGTGATAAGTGTTTTGGGACGTAAAGTGAGGATA